ATATTAATATTAATATTAATATTAATATTAATATTAATATTAATATTAATAAAAATAGTGGTAACATTATAAATTTTATTAAAAGGTATCTATACCAGCAAAGTGTAGCACACATGTACATTTACATATAAATTCCAAGCCTATTTGTAATAAATCAAAAGTGTCATACGGAGCAAAAGTTGTAAATTATGATTTAAACTTGAAAATATATAATATAAACACAAATACAAATGAGTTTTTTCGTTCAAAATATCTTTCAAATACGAATACAAATAATTAATTGTGTATTCAATTCAAAGAATAATAAAATATAATTGTTTAAACATATACAAAATCAACTATCTAATATGCATTTTTGTGCATCAACTATCCACTATACGTGTGTGTGTATAGTTTAAATTATACTCCGTGTATCTAATGGTTTCTTATTAGCAATAATGCTAAATATCTAACATAATTTTAGAGTCGTTTGACATTGGTATATACAATTATCAATTTTTTTCACCCATTTTAAGTATAATTTCTAATATGTGTGTGTTAGTGCTTATTTCAAAATGTTTGAAATCGATGTATATTTAAAAATCATAAAATTGATTCACTTTATTATATTGTACACAATCTAAAAATGCATTGATCCATTAATTTTTAAGAAAATGTAATGTTACAAATCAAATTCTAAAAACACATACTAAGTCATAGCATGCATTATAACAAAAAAAATATAGGAAAAGTTATTTTAATGTGATATTTGACTAATATTTAACTTATGCTCAAATTGATTCGATATTCGTCTATGATTCGTTAATTATTTGTATTGTTCAACAAATAAAAATACAAATACAAATAAAAATTAATATACATTTCATATTCGAATTCGAATTCGTATTCGAAAAAATTAAACAAATACAAAGTCTCACTATTCGACTCGATTCGGTTCATTTACAATCTTATATTTTTGTTTCTGTTTTGAGTTGAGAGTTGAGACAGGGGCGACCCTAGGGGGTGCAACAGGGGCGACCACCCTAGGCCCAAGAAAATAGGGGGGAAATAGGCTCAAAAATATTTCTTTGTATGTAGTGTGAGTAGACTTTTTTTAAAAAATTTTAAGCTAAATTAATTGGCTCAAGATTTAATTTTTAAAATAAATGTGAAGTGTCATGCCTCTCTTAATTCTCTTCGGATCTCTGACTTTATATTTTATAATCCTTTTAATTAGAAAATTACCAAGTTATGTAGGCCTCCAAAGTCCAAAACTCTCAATTTGCAAAGTCCATCCAAATTGATTTATTGTTTCCAAATTTCAATATCAACAAGAGTAAGGAACACTCTACTATACAAAGCGGTGACTGTCTCAGCGGTTTGTTAAGAATTGAAGCCAATCAATTGAGGATGGAATTGGTGACCAAAAAACTTCTTCTTTCAAGGCTTCAAACAATCCATCCGTGATCAATAAATTATTCTTGATAAAATTGGTGAGTCAGGATAGATAAAGAGAAGAAGATTAGAAAAGACGGGGTTAATTTAGCAGGATTGAATGGAAAATTTTGTTTTTGCTAAGAAGTTGAATCTTAAAAATTCCGTAAGAAACATTTTCAAGTAATGTTTTTCTTTTTATGTGATACTTGTGTTGTTACTTTTCACCAAATATGCAATTTAAATAATAATAATAATAATAATAATAATAATAATAATAATAATAATAATAATAATAATAATAATAATAATAATAATAATAATAATAATAATAATAATAATAATAATAAAATGACGCTTTTATTTAATGACCTTTATTAGATAATTACATTATAATTATTATTTTGAATAAATATTAATTATTATTTGTCTTGAATATAAGTCCAAAATATTATCCCGCCCATAGGCCCGAAAATAAACAGGACCGGCCTTGCAGAATCCTTGTCACGGATTGCATTGAAATAATATTAAGTTAAAAAAAAAAAGCATTCAATTGTGATACAGTGCATCGCGAAGATCGTGCAGACTGCTTTGTAGGATGCTGAGAATTTAGGAGGGTAACTTAGTAAAGAATGTATTAATTAGTCACATTTTTGGAAATTAAGAAAAAATGTCTCTTTTTTGTCTATTACCTTTTTTAGTATTATTTTTGTCAAAACCCCTAAAACGTAACATGGTTATTAAAAATAGTACATATTAGTATTCAAAAAAGTATGTATTAGAACAAAATAATAAATCTTCATGACTTTTTGCATCTAAGAGCTTTTTACAAACAACTAATTTGTAATGGTGGACATCAATGACTAGTTCGTGTTGGGCATTGAATCGTCCATGAGCTTTCCATTTAATGGTGCATTAAAAGATAAGAACGTTGGGCATTAACTGCTGTGTAACGGACCAGAAAAAATAAAACGTTACGGGTAGAAACAAAAATAAACCGTATCTCTTGGGAGATACATTTTTGGACGACATTCGTGTCCGCAGGTCGCGGTTTTTCTTCTCCGATTTCGGGATTTGATTTGCACCCCACCCCGCCTGCGCGCGTGGAGAGAGCCTTTACCCTAAGGAATCTTAACTCCTTAAGGGGAGAGTCCCTTTATAAAGGGTTGCAAATCCCTTGGGTTTTCCGATGTGGGAAATAACACACTAGAAACTCATCCTTTTTCCTAGTTTTCTCATTCTAACGGGTAAACTTCGAGAATCAATTTCTCATTCACCCGTTATCCATTTTGAGCGTACCACATATCGAATTGTAGCCCTTAACAAGGGCAATCCGAAACCACTTTGACCCGACCCAAATCAAAAGTGGACCCCACTCAAATCATTGCCCCAAAATTACCATTTAATGCAATTTTAACACATTTTTCCAACAGATATTTAAGATGAGTATCTCAAAGTTGCAGATACAACTGGAAGAGAATGCCTCCTTCAATTTGTTAAAGGGGTCACAACCATATTTGGGCCCGAGTACCTTTCTAGGCCAAACACCCAAGACGTCACACAGCTTCTTGCGGAGGGTGAAAGTCGTGGATTCCCAGGCATGATGGGTAGCATTGATTGCATGCACTAGGAGTAAAAGAATTGTCCCCGAGCATGGAGAGGTATGTTTCATGGTAGGAATAAAAAAGCTACCCTTATCTTGGAAGTCGTTGCCTCTCGTGACCTTTGGATTTGGCATGCATTCTTCGGGACACCAGGTTCTTGCAATGATATTAATGTTCTTGATAAATCCCCCGTTTTTTTATGATGTCCTAAGTGGCCATGCTCCACGTGTTTCGTATGTCGTGAATGGTAATGTTTACGATATGAGATATTATCTAGCAGATGGTATTTATCCTAAGTGGGTTGTCTTTGTTCCATCCATCACTGCTTCACAAATTGCCAAACACAAACTTTTTGCACAACAACAAGAGGGTGCGAGAAAGGATGTAGAATGAGCTTTCGGAGTGTTACAAGCGCGATGGGCAATTGTAAAGTACCCATCCCTAGCTTGGGATAAACAAGTATTGGGAAAGATAATGATGAGTTGCATTGTTATGCACAACATGATTGTAGAGCCGTAGATGATAACTGTAATACCCGAGATTAATATAAGAGGATTAATAGTACTACTCATACCAACAGAGATGCATCTTCTTTTAAGGGAGCTCATTATCTAAGAACTCCAAAGTTAAGCGTGCTTGCTCGGGAGTAGTCTTGGGATGGGTGACCCCTTGGGAAGTTTCTCATGGCGCGCATGAGTGAGGACAAAGTGCGCGGTAAAGGCTTGTGGTGGTTTGTGAGGACAGTACTATTGGTCCCGAGTAACTACCTCGGGTCCTGCGGGGCCGGGGGTGTTACAATAACAACGAATTGAGCATAACAACGATGAAGGCCTAGTATCTCTTGATAGCTTAACTACTAATATGCCATCATCAAGCAATGCAAGAACGCAACACACTAATATCTTTGCCGCTCAACCATCGAGATTACCGACATACATGGATAATAGAGCCTGAATCTGTGAGAGGAATATACACACCACACTAATAAACGACTTGATTGAGCACATTTGGCAGAAATTCAGTGGTGAATGGAATGACATTTAATAATTTACACATCATGTAATCGTTTTTACTTTTCTATTCGCATGTCTTCAATGTTATGATGAATTGAACCTGTATTATTTTGGATTGTCGTAAATTTTTTTAACGATTAGAATATATAATAATTACATGTAAGACCATTATTAAATAAATTGTAAAATAATAAAATGCGATAAATACGAATTATTGGCGTAACAGTTTTTTTTTTAAAATACTTTTTTATTTTATCTTTGCACAACAAATATTAAAGTGTGCCAAATGTAGATTTTGTATTCATTTTTCAAGTTAAGGATGTTTTCTTTTGGACTGAAATTTGTTGGTCTGGTTTCATCTGAACTGGTCTGAACTAGGATGTATCCTAAATAAATTAATAAAAGTGGGATATATCAAAAATAAGGAGAGAGAGTGTAAAAATTTTAAGTGACCTAGGTCACCATAGTGGGGAGAAATTGGGATAGATTAAACGGGATTAAGTTTTTGGAGGGAAGTGATGTGGAAGAGAGAGGTGGGGTTAAACCCACCACCATTGTGGATCCTCTTACATATACTAATAATAAATATTGTTCAATATTATATATAACATCAATATATTATTATTATATGTATTTTGAAACATATTAATAATGGATTAAGTATGCCGCTAATAACACCAAATTTGTATATTTCGTTAGTCTATAATAATTTGTTGTATTAAGAAACATGCATAGTAATTTATTGATATTGTACCGTTACCGAAACGAGGCTATATAAGTCCGTGCTCCGAGCGTCACTAACTTTTTTAAGAGTAGCCGGCCCGGGACAAGAACCAGCCCGGACCATGACCGTCCATGCCTACTCTGATGGAACAATTTGCCTTTCCTTTCCATAGGCACTAGGCCAAACATATGCATATAGGAATATAACAAATAAAAAACAAACAACTAAAAACAATGGACAAGCTGATGAAAGTAACTACCTTTAGTAAATCATCAGCATAAACCTGCAGTAACAAAACAACTATCTGAAGGTTATATCAACTTTGAAGTTCCATCTCAAGCCAGCGGGTCTAACTGTAGTTAATTACATTACAATATCCCAATTTCGAGAATATACATTAAGATCAAGCACTCATCTTCAACAAAAAAGCGTTAGATATATAATACTACATATATGTACATGTATGTATGTATGTCAAAAGTAACATCCTCCCAACATCCTTCTATTGAATCCTTGACCTTTTGGGGTGTGTATCTTTTCGTTCATAGGCAGTAAAATAAGGAGCATAGTCCACCTCCCACCCATCATTGAACGAAGCAGCCTAGTTCATTAGCGATATCAAAGATTATACATAACAAATATATGCTCAGTATTGATTAAACTTAAAGAGTTTAGGATATTTTAGTTCAACAAACCTTCTTGCATAATGATTCTAGTGCATCTTTCAATCCGCTCATGATGTGGTCCTTTTTAATTAGGGAAGCGCTCTGATTAACAACTTACAAAGTTAGGTCTAGAACTCTAGCAAGATGGCCTCAAACAAGATGAAGATGTACTCAAGAAAGATGTATGCATGTATACATAATATAATACCCACCTGATATCGTAGCCAAAACTCAAACCGTACTCTTATCATATCAGAAAGAGTGGACATAGTGTCTTTATAAGCTTTTGACAACAAAGTGTTGCGCTCATCAAAGGGGGAAATTTCATCAACCAGCTTTTGACATTCGAGATACAATTCATTAAGTGGCAACTTCTTTACCACCTACAATTGAGTTGATATGCAAACTACTTAGCACAAACAGAGAAACAACACAAGTACATTAGAGGATTGATTGCAGGTTAGAAAATTACCATAATTTGTTTCTCTATATGTTTCTTGGAAATTATAGGATCGAGCTGTTTCTTATGTGCTTCAGCAGATTTCTTTTCCTGCATATGTTCTTTTTCAATCTGTTCAATCTCTTTAAGAATGTGACTGGTGACATCCTTAAATTTGGTAATCCCGTATTTGTATAACTGTAACAAGAAAAGCCCAACCTTTACAATAAATACAAAACCAATAATACTAAAAAGCAAAAAAATAAAAATTCTAATCTTTGAAACAATGTAATAGGGCATTTATCCAGGTTACATTAAAGTTCAGAATTATTCTTTTAAATGCTGAGGGAAAGGTTGGCTGATGGCTTTTGATAAGTAGATTAAAGACCTCCACAAAAAACTGTACTTGAAAAGCTGATGATTCAAGGTTACTGGTGTAAAAGAAGCATTACAGAGATCCAAAAGAGTCTATTAATCTATTACGTAGTGCGGAATGCGGAGTATATTCTAAAAGAGCATAATCTCTCATTACCCCATCTCTGATCTCCTTTGCAAGAGGAAGGATATCAGTTTCCTCCTTATCATTACCAGGATCACTTGCAACCACGGGTTTACTAATCAAATGATCAAAAAGCAAATTGGATGTCAGATCATTTAAATGTTCCATTTGCTCTTCCAATTTGTCCTTTTCAAGCGTCGATGATAGTCCTCCCTTCTATAACAGAAAACAACACACCCCATTACAAAGTTTTGTTTAGAAAAAAACACTATTCTTAAACGGGAATCACTACTGTACCTTGGAAACTATTTGGTGGTTATTGCGAAGCAAACGTAACATCCTTATCGCCCAATGGGAGGCGCTAGCAAGATGCAAACAGCGCTCAAAATTGTCCTGGTGCAAATCTATACAGTCCTGTTTATAAATCAAAGAAGAAGAATAAGATCCATTTAAATGTGTGTTTGTGTGTGGGTGTGCTGAGCTGCTAAAATGTTTACCCTGACTAGCTCCCTTTTAGCTTGCAGCTCTTCCTCGAATTTCTTAAGCATCTTGATTTTTTGAAAGCAGTCTTCGCAGGTACACACAGTGCCAAAATCATACTCATGTGGAAATAGAACATTAGTTTCTACTTCCTGTTGAAGCTCAAGAAAATCGTAAACCAGCTTTTTTTCAGTCATGCTTAGTGCGAAATTGTAAGTTCTTGGATCATCAAATCTGTCTCTCCATCAATTGCTCAGAGCATCCTCTGGTTTGATAAAGCGCAAGATATTTGGGAAGAACTAAAGGAACGTTTCTCGCATAGCCCGAAGTCGGGCGAAGTATGATGCCTCGGCGAACATGGAAAGTGGGGGCGGACAGTGAATAGACAGGCTTGTGTATTAGTAATAATTTAATTAGGTATTAGGATGTTTTTACTTGGACTATAATTTGTCCCAGACCAGACCAGACCAGACCAGTCCAGACCAGACCAGACCAGACCAGACTTGGATAGTTATAAAAATACAAAGAAACCAGACCTTACCAGACCAGACCAGACCAGACCAGTTCAGACCAGACCAGATCAAACCAGATCAGACCAGACCAGCAAATTACAGTCCAAGTAAAAACATCCTTAGTAAACATTATAAAAAGTTGATATTTTGAAAAGGGTTTAATGCACCAAACCCCCCTGTGATTTGGAAATTCGGCGCATTAGCCCCCTGTGATTTAAAAAATGCGTCAAACCCCCCTGTGTTTTAATTAATCATGCGCCAAATCCCTTATGTGAACAAATTCAATTGTCAAATAAAAGAAAAATGATTAACATTTTTGTATGATTCAGAGATTTTGACATATTTATTTGCATATTCAATCAAAATATTACGAAAAGTGATTTTCAAATCGTTAAATTTATTCATAAAGGGGGTTCTGTGCATGATTAATTAAAACACAGGGGGGTTTGACGCATTTTTTAAATCACAGGGGGCTAATGCGCCGAATTTCCAAATCACAGGGGGGTTTGGTGCATTAACACTTTATGTATACGTAATAATAGGAATTCACAATGATAGGAATTCAATAACACTTTATACGTAATAATTTGATTATGTATATTAGTAGAAAATCGTGGTCAAAGTAAGACCAGTGAATAGTGCAAAAACTACAATGTTGCAATAATTAAAGAACGGAAGTAGTATTTTGTTATACTCGTAAAAGATAAGTGAGCCCTTTTTAGACCATTTGTAGTGGTCAAGAGTCCAAATTGTTAAATTTGGACTCCGTCCATATGAAAACAGTGTTTAGACACCGTCAATACTATTTTGCCCTGCACCCGTGCACCGTCAATAAAATACACTCTGCATATGTTTTACATATGAATTTAGTAAAACACTAATTAAATTATTATAAGTAATGTTTCACTTTTAATTTTTCCCCTGAATAATTATGAAATAAAAAATACACATTTCGATGTAAAAATAAATAATTTTCACAACTTTTTTTTTAACATTTTTCGGTTAAAAAAATGAATTTGTTTAAGTGAAGTTCGATTATAGAATATTCAGTTATTTGTGAAGACTTCATGAATTAAAATTTTGTGTTCCGCTTTTTTAGCTCAAGAAACCGCAACAGTTAAATTTTCAAAAAAAAATCATTTTATATATCACATATGGATGTCATATGAAAGATCATAAAAATTTAATAATTTTGATATATTTTTTGAAAAATTTAGATGAAAAATAAAAAAGTTATATATAAGTTTAAAAAAAATTGCGATATAATGATGCAAGGGTGACACCAGCATGACATCATCCTCACCATTCTTTTTCTTTTTTCTTTATTTTTTCTTTTTTCCACTCTTCTGAACTCACCCTCTATATTTAACCCCATTCATCCCCTTATCCATTTTTAATACCCCTTTTAAACCACCACTACACACAATTAGACCATTTGTAGTGGTCAAAAGTCCAAATAGTTAAATTTGGACTCCGTCCATTTGAAAACAGTGTTTAGACTCCGTCAATACTGTTTTTCCCTGCATCCGTGCACCGTCAATAAAATACACTCTGCATATTTTTTACATATGAATTTAGTAAAATATTAATTAAATTATTATAAGTAATGTTTTACTTTTAGTTTTTTTTCCCTGAATAATTATGAAATAAAAAATACACATTTTGATGTAAAAAAAAGTAATTTTCATATTTTTTTTTAACATTTTACTGTTAAAAAAATGAATTTGTTTAAGTGAAGTTTGATTATAGAATATTCAATTATTTGTGAAGGTTTCATGAATTAAGAATCCGTGTTTCATTTTTTTAGCTCAATAAACTGTAACAGTTAAAATTTCAAAATAAAATCATTTTATATATCACATATGGATGTCATATGAAAGATCATAAAAATTTATGAATTTTGATATATTTTTTGAAAAAATTAAATGACAATAAAAAAGTTATATAAGTTAAAAAAAATTGGGATATAATGATGCAAAGGTGACGCCAGCATTACATCATCCTCACCAAAAGAAAACATGAGGCCGTGCCTTACTTTTTCTTTTTTCTTTATTTTTTCTTTTTCCACTCCTCTAAACTCACCCTTTATATTTAACACCCTCCATCATCTTTCCCACTTTTAATACCCCATATAAACCACCACTACACACAATTAGGAGTCCAAAAGTTCCCCATTTAACATTTTGGACTCCTAATACCTCACCACTTCAAATGGTCTTAGAGGCCGTTTGACAACCATGATTTTAGGGGGTCTTATCAGCCAACTTTTTCACCAAACACGTAAATTTTGCTTTCGCGTGTTGAATTGTGTAATTAGTAGAAAAGGTAATATTGGAGTTACTTTTCTGGCTGTATTGACTGAAGTTACTGTAGATGACAATTTTAAATATTTTTCTATGTAATTTTTTCTTTATTTTATTAATAAAATATTTTTTAAAAATATTTTTTTCTTATATCAACAGAATAAGTCAAAACAGCCAGAACTTCATAAACTTCAGCAGAATCAGCCAAAACAGCCGATTTTCGTGCTACCAAACAGGCTCTTATTTAGCTCTCTGGATTGTACAAGATTGGCATAAAAATCCTCCTACATAATAGCACACCTTTACCGAGTACTAGTCTGACGACATCGCTATAACACTTTCAAAGAGGAGGTCATATGTTTAAATCTCATTCCAATTCAAGTATGTTGGCGTTAACAGAACCTATATTATGTTAGAAAGCTTTGCTAAAAAAAATAGCACACTTTCATGAAGAATCATGGGGTTAGGTCATGAATATTAGTAATTAAATGTGTTTAGACAAATATAGGACTTGTTTTAGAGCATCTTCAATGGTACAATGTGCACGGTGCACACGTGGCATGAGAGATGATCACATAAATATTAGTAAATAAATTATTTCTCTCATTATTTGAATGATTTTATACAGTTTTGGTGAGTTTTTCTCCACAATGTCAAGGAGACCGTCTAATGTTGACATTGTTGTTGACATTGCAGGGAAAAACTTACCAAAATTGTACAAAATCATTCAAATAAGGAGAGAAATAATTTATTTGCTAATAATTATGTGGCTATCACTCATGCCACATGTGCACCGTGGACATTATAGCATTGGAGATGCTCTTAGTTTCTTCCACACAACAATGTCTGTATGCTTCATTTAGAAATTTAAGAATGAAAATGTCATTAATACCCTTGCTTTCTAATCAACTAGTAAATTCACCCGTGCGATGCACGGTCAGAGAATTTTCCTTGAAATTTATTTGTGCTCACCAATTCAAATTACACTGTCAATTGATGAGAGCATCTATCTCCATGGAATATTGATATAACTTCAAGCAATAAACAAAAAACACTTATAATATATATTACAGTTAAAAAGAGAGCACTAAACATTACGTAAAAGATAAAAAACATCCAACAAATACTTATAAACCATAACATTATAAATATACATTTCATGTAACCCTAAATATTGTTGAACACTTTTAGAATACCACATTTTGAGTCTTGTCAGTGGTTCCTTCTTCTTCATCAATACCTGTGTGATGAACGATTGGTGAAATTAGTGCGGGTGTAATTAACATTAGCCAACATTTTAATTAAAAAATAAACAAACTTGTAATTTCAATTGAATTGTTTAGAATTATGCTCCATACAATAATAAAACTTGACGTAAATGAAACATATAAAATACAATTTACTAATGATTACAGAGTAGTACATTACTTTTAAATCCCACAAAATAGTAAGTAACACGCAATATAAACATCATTTGAAAACAAATTACATTTCATGGCAAATTTTATGAAACGCCTCTTTGTACCTTCTGTCTAGCATTAACTCTTGTTAGAAGGAAAATTACACTAAATAGGACAAAAAAAGTTTTATGTATTCCAAAATTGGACCTTAAGCATGACAAATTTTTCAAGCTTGACATTAATTATGCCTATTTTGGCAATGAAAACATGACAATCTTATTTTGGAATTGTAAAACTTATTTACTCATATTCGAAAATTTTCCCTTATTAAAATCCTTCATTCAAGTAAATTTTTGACAAAGATTTTTTTCATTTTCAAATCAAAGGTCTATATATGTTAACTGAAGGTATAAATTTTTATAATTACTAAATAATATGGTGACATTACATCTATACGAATTGCATTATTTAGACGAATTGCTGATGTAACCTGGCAAATCAGGGGGGTGCAGATATGTGAAAATGTGTTATGTCTTTATCTATACGAATTGCATTATTTAGACGAATTGCTGATGTAACCTGGCAAATCAGAGGGTGTGCAGATATGTGAAAATGTGTTATGTCTTTATCTATACGAATTGCATTATTTAGACGAATTGCTGATGTAACCTGGCAAATCAGGGGGGTGTGCACATATGTGAAAATGTGTTATGTCTTTATCTATACGAATTGTATTATTTAGACGAATTGCTGATGTAACCTGGCAAATCAGGGGGGTGTGCAGATATGTGAAAATGTGTTATGTCTTTATCTATACGAATTGCATTATTTAGACGAATTGCTGATGTACTTGCAAATCAGGGTGTGCAAATATGTGAAAATGTGTTATGTCTTTATCTATACGAATTGCATTATTTAGACGAATTGCTGATGTAACCTTGCAAATTAGGAGGGTGTGCAAATATGCAAATATGTGAAAATTTGTTATGTCTTTATCTATACGAAAATGTGCAAATATGTGAAAATGTGTTATGTGAAATTGCCGATGGAAGGCTTCCTCCGCCTCCTCTGCCTATTCTGCATCCTATGCCGTGCTAAACTATAAAAACGGTAAGAACGCACTCCCTACACTACACAGTACACACAACCACCTCATGACCTCACTGAT